CTCAAATTTCAACCACATGGGAAAGATGAATGTGCATTTTTAGCTCACGTTCCTATGCACTGTGGGTCAGAAGGTGTTGGTGTGATCGTATGACTCTGAGGAAATCATTTTAGCCCTCTAAAACCCAGTTCACTGCTCATCTACAGAACGGAGTTAACATTAAATGAGATGATTTACACAAGGCATTTACTGCAGGGCTTAATTCCACATAATCATTCATGGATCATGCTTTTTCCATCCAGTGGTTTAACTATCCCTTTGGACTTCGAAGTCCTCCACTGGATCTGACTGAAAGATGAGGGGAAGTGAGAGAGTGTGGAAGAAGATTTTGTAAGCCAGACCCAGAGCCCAGTCTATTTGCTACATCTAACTATAAGGTAAGCTGAAAAATAGAGTCAAGCTCTATTTTACTTAGAAACATTTGATATATGCTCAATCTTACAATAGGCATTTTGGCTATAATAATAATAGAAATAAAAGTAATAGTAATAATAGCTAATGATTATGACTTGCTTAATATGTGCTAAATGCCTTGTGTGCATTATCTTATTTAATGTTATTTTAACCCCACTCTGTAGATGAGTAGCAAACTGAGTCTGAGAAGGTTGCAATGATTTTCTCAGTCATATGACCAGAAGGGACTGCAGCTGAGACCCAATACCAAGTCCACCTAATTTTACATCACAAAAATCTCAGTTCCTCTATCTACCCCACCTGCATCTTCAGATCCTTCTGGACGGTGTTGGCCCAACCTTGATCCCACTTTTTCTTTTATTTGGGCTGAAACAGTGCCTCCTTCTGACTGAGACCTGGAAACAGTATACTGGCTTAAATTCCCTCTCATTTGCTTGCATGCATAGTAAATCCTAATGAGAAAGAGACATTGTTGGATATTCAGTGAAAAATAATGCATTATCCCTGCTCTGGGCTGAGAAATGGGTAAGGCCAGTACCACTGTTGTTTAGGTATCAAATATCACTCTAATTATCATTTTCTCCTTCATATGTAGTGACATTTAAATAACCCCTTAAACTCCAAATTACTCTTTAAATATGTGCCATTTCATTTTTTTGTTTTGTCTTAAACTTATATTCTTTGGATGTATTAGTCCATTGCCTGTTGCTATAACAAAATTTCTGAGGCTGGATATTTTATAAATAGGTTTGTTTAATTCATGATTCTGGTGGCTGGAGCATCCAAACAGCATGGGGCCAGTGTCCTGGTGCAAGACAGAGTGTGTAACAGTGGCGGTATTGCTTACCTATGGTGAGCTGGTCTGGGGAACTATTCATGTCCCCCAGGAGCAGGAAGTGAGAGTTGAGTGTGGTTCTTTGTCACAGCAAGGTAGAGAAACAGAAAGGGAGGGCTAAAGGTGTATTCAGTGATAGAGTGCTTGCTTAGAATGTGTGAGGCCCTGCATTCAATCCCAAGCACACAATAATGGAAAAAGAAATGGTAAGGGGGGCCTGCAGAAGAGGCCAAATATTTGGGGTAAACTTGCTTTGTATTAACTCACTCTAGTGAGAAAAAATTCACTCTTGAGCATGACCCAATTACCTTGCACTAGGCCCCACCTCTACCACCTGAATATCACTGTCCTGGGACCACGCTCCAGCAGAGGAACCTTGGGAGACACACTCAAACCATATTAAATCATAGTCCTGGGTAAATAAACACCTTTCTCTACACCCTTTTATATTCTGTTTACTCTCAGTAACAGCCCTCGTAAATGACTTTCAGTACTAGCTGAATTTCTTCCCTTCCTCCTTCCACCTCCATTCATAACTTCTTTCCTCCTTCCCTCCTGACCTCCCTCTCTCTTGGTCTTTCTTTCATTCAAAAAATATTTTCGAAGCACCTGCTTGGTACTAGATATAATACAGTAAGAAAGAAAATACATATTTCCCCTTTTGATGAGAAGTTTACATCTAGCCAGGCACAGTGACCTCATGCCTGCAGTCCCTATGATTAGAGAGGATGATGCACAAGGATCACAAGTTTGAGGCCAGTCTAGGCAACTTAGCGAGGCTCTAAGCAACTTGGTGAAACCCTGTCTCAAAATTAAAAGTAAAAAGGGCTGGGAATGTAGCTCAGTGGTGAAGTGTTTCAGGTTCAATCTCCAGGATAAAAGAAAAGAAAAAAAAAGAAGTTTACATCTAGTTGGATGAAGGTTTTACTGTTGTCCACATGAAGAGGGAAGAGGAGTACTGGGAAGCCGTTCATGATGTGGGTCTAAGGAAATTCCACTAAACTCCACAGCAAAATCACTTGTTCCCAGATACCAAGGATATAAGATTCAAATCTAAACCAGACAAAAATGGAAATTAACATGTTTTGGAATATTAGTAAATCTTAGATTTATTTATTTATTTGGTACCAGGGATTGAACCCAGGGGAACTTACCCACTGAGCCATACCCCAGCCCTTTTTTGAGAGTCTTGATAAATTGATTAGGGCCTTGCTAAGTTGCTGAGGCTGGCTTTGAAATTGTGATTCTCTTGCTTGAACCAGAGTTGCTGGAATATTAGTGAATTTTAAATACATGAATGACCAGCTTTTACTGATAGGGTGACAGATATGCCTAAGAGTTGTCCTTCTCCCATTCTGAGCTTGTGCAGACATCATTAATTGATCACAGTGCTCTGCATTGAATATGAATGAAACCTCTGAGTCTTCCTCAACACCACCCTGTAGGTGCCCCCTTAGAATTCTGTATACCAACTGTTAGAATGATACTTATAAATATGCAAAGGTATTTGACATTCTTGTCTCTGGGTAGACTTTTTGGGGCACAAAGAAATATGTTTTTTGACTAAATAGAAAGTAGTAACACAAAATTGCTAAGTCAGACAAAAGAAATGAGAAGACCAATGAGGAACTCAAAAGCAGAGGTAGCACATGGAGTAGATTTCTGTTGTGAGTAGGGTAGCCTACTGGTTTTGGAATGTGTGTCCAATGGCAGGAAGCAGGGTGACAGGTCCCGAGCTCAGCACTATTCTTGTGCTAACAGCCATACTTGATTGAGTGTGGAAGGGCCAGCATGGAGGTGAGCAGTCAGTGTGACTAACCCCTAAGTCTCATACCATCATGTGCTTCATTATGTCAGGATAAGGAGACCAGTTCTCTTCCTCCCTGAGCCCCACTCCATTTGTAGCTTTGCCCAGGTGTGGCACTAATAGAGTGGGGATGCCAGGCGCTATTGGTTGGCATGGTTTGTGGACATAAATAGAGCTCTGTGTGCCCTCCCGAGAGGCTAGATGAAGGAAAGGGAGTTCTGCTGGGGCAGGAGGAGAGGGAGTCTGCAGGCATAGGGTTATTTATTAGTAAGGTATGTTAGTGACGTGAGGGCAAGGAGTCCCAGTAGCCAGGACAGAGATTCTAATTTTTACCAGGTTCCCTTCTGTGTATATTTGTAGGGACAGGTATGCTGTCATGGAGCTGGCCCTCCAGGGTGCCTTCGAGGACACCTGCTCTCCCAGTGAATATGTGCAGTCAAGTACAGGGAACAGTCCAGCAGAGTGTGAACATGGGGGTGGGGTGCAAGGTTGGAGCATCCACCCAGGGTGCAGGCAACCGGGGTGCGTAGGTTGTAGAGAATTTCTTAAAAATAATAGAATTGACTACCATTGTCCTACTTTTATTATCACCATATTCTGGCAATTCTAAACCACTCTCTCTACTCCATAGGACATGCCACCATGATGCATATTTGAGACTGCACATTTGGACTCCTGGGTCCCTCAAGTTTGGCCACCTGTCCTCCTTTCCCCCTTGGCTCCCTGCTATTATAAGCCCTAGGGGCTATGATAGTTCATGAGGCACCAATTAGAAATACGAAGAGCACATTTATTGAGAGGACCACTAATATTTTTGTTTTATGAAATAAATTAATAGTTAATAAGTCAATATTTTATTAAATAACCATTTAATGGTATTTTTTTCTTTTCTCAAGCCTACACATTTTTATTTTATTTTATTTCATTCAAAAAGTATTTACTGAGTTCCTACTGTGGGTCAGGCCAGGTGCTGGGGTGGGGTTACCCCATAGTCAACAAGACAAACAATAACAGGGCTGACATTCCACAGCAGGCAGTAGGGAGTGGACAAGCGCAGACACAGGTGGTTTTAGCAAATGTGAAGGGTCATGAAGGGGAATGTTCTAGAATAGAAGGTGATGGGCAGGAGGAGGTATTTGGGCTGAAACCTCAAGGATTGGAAGAAAACTTTTATGACAAACAGCAAATGGCAAGATCTAGAAGAAGGAACAGTATTTGAGAGAATGAAAGAAGGTTAGCATAATTGGGATAAGATGGAGCCATTCTGGGGAAGAGGCTGAAGGGGGCGGAGGAACAGGGTACCCTAATAATGTAGGGCCATAAGATTTTGTTATGGAATTTGCATTTTATAATGCAGTTTTTCCTCCTTATCGGTGGTTTCACTTTCTGTCATTTCAGTTACCCACAGTCTATGAGAAGAATGAGAGTGAGGACAGTACAATCAGGTATTTGAGAGACAGAGACCACATTCATATAACTGTTAGCACAATGTATTGCTACAATTATTCTTTTATTAGTATTATCGATTTTCTTCTGTGCCTAATATATAGATTAAATTTTTTCATGTATGTATGTATGGGAAGAATCATCATAGGGTGTATAAATTTCAGTGCTACCTGTGGTTTTGGGCATCTTTTGGGGCTCTGGGGACATATCCCCCATTGATAAGGGAAGACAATTGAATTAAATGTGTTCTTGCCTACTTTCCCTTCCCATCCCGCTAATTTGCATTACCATTTCTCCTGCTTTGCCAGTTTCATGCTTAGTTCCTTCAACTGAGGCTTCCCATATTCCCAAATCCCTGCCTCCCTCCCCCCCCCCCAGGTTACCACTCCTAGTTCCCTCTGCTCATCTGCCTCCTAAAGTTCTTCTCTGTTGGCACCCAATGCCCCAATATGGCGTCTCTCCATTGAAGAAGGCAGGCTTAAGCCTCATTCCGATCCGTGGCAATTTTCAGAACCAATACCAGTTGTCTAGGTGGAGGAGAGACAGCAAATTAACCCGTCTTTCTTTTCTTGTAAAAGGAATTTATTATCTTGGACTTTTCCTTAAACCTAAAGAGACAGGCCTGGGAGTAAGGAGGAGGAGAAGAAAGGAGAAATTCAGAGCCGTTGAGGCCTAGGAGAGTTTAGAGAGAAGGCTAAATGTCAGCCGGTGACTCCCTCTCCTGACTTCTGGGCTGAGACGCATTATCTCCATCCACCAAGGATATTTCTCTTTTCAGTCTTCAACAAATTTTTCTTCCTTCTGATCCTTGTCTGCAGCTCTGAGCGGGGAAATTCAGTCATTTAAGAACTTAAACTATAATTTTGCTTGGGGTGGAGACAGATTGGTTATCCTCTGATTTAAGAATAAAAAATAATGTCCCCCTCTTCTTCCTTCCCTCTTCCCAAATGCATACTCAAAATTCATTCACAGTTGGTGAGAATTGGTTGCTGGATTCCATTTCGACACAGAGAGAGTAGGTCAGGTGAATTCCCCTTTTTTCCTGGAGTAGGGTATGATCCCTGAGGGAACCTTGCTTCAGCTCTTTCTTTTTTAAAATAAGAAAATAAATTGTAGGAATAATGCAGCAAGTTATAGCAAATGAATAGATGGTGTCCTCGAGGACAGGAAGGGCAGATGGATCTGGGCTTCTTGCCTAGAAACAGTACATGCTCGTATTTTATTTTAGAAAGAAAAAGATGACACTTAATTTCAGGTTTCTATAGCAAGGAGGGTAGAATTGAGGCCCAGAATTTTCTGGATTCCCTTGAGAACGACGGCTGAGTTGGGTTCTTTGGATACTATAAGATGCATCTGTTTTTGTCTATGGTGTTGGTTGGAGAAGGTCCTTGTATCTTTCAGGTTTTTGTTAGGGGGCAGTATGGTTTGAATATGGTATGACTCCCTAGTTCATGTGGTGGAGACCTGGTCTCCAATGTGATGGTGTTGAGAGGGGTAGACCCTCAAGAAAAAATCAGCTCAAGGGAGATCTACCCTTAATGAATGGATTAATGTCTTTCTCCAGAGACTGAGTTGGCTCTCTTGACTGGGTCAGTTCGTACAGGAGTGGACTAATTCTTGCAAGGCTAGGTTGTTATAAAAACCCCTCCTGCCTTCCCTTGGTCTCTATGGAATACATGCTCCTGACATGAGTGCCCTTTCTCTGTCTGCATCTCACCATGATATGATGCAGCACAAGGTGCTCACCAGAAGCCAAGCAGATGCTAGCACCATGCTCTTGGTCCTCCAGAAATGTGAACTAGATAAACCTCTTTTTAAAATAATATATCCAGCCTCAGGTATTGTGCTACAGCAACAGAAAATAGACTAAGACAGGATAAGACATGTCTAGTACAATACCCCCTAGAGATGACTTTGTAGCTTCGAGGGCAAATCTATCCTTTGCTCTTCAAAATGTGATTTGTGAATCTGTCAATATTGTATGTCAATAGCTTAACATTTATTGATAAGTCACTTAGCTTTGGATCCAGATAAGACAAGATCCCTGACAATGCTATCTGGTTGGAGGAATGAAGGCATATCTTTGATGTATTAGGAATCTTTTTTTCTTTTTCACTTCAAATGACAGAATAACCAACCTAAATTGACGAAAACAAAAAGATAAATTACTGGCTCATATAAATGAAAAATCTGGGGGTGAGTGGGTATATATTAGTTAACGATTGATGAGTAATATATCACCTCAACACAGAGCAGTTTAAAACAACTGTGTATTTGGCTCATTATCTGTGAGCCAGCAATTTAATGTGGGCTCAGTAAAATGTTCTTCTGGTCTACACGGGGTGTAGGTGTAACTACAGGGTACTGTGGATCAGCTAAGTAGCAATGCTTCTGGTGGCTACTGGCTGTTGGCTGGCTGCCTTAGCTCTCCTCCAGAGTGTAGCTATTCTCCAGCAGGCTAGCCCAGGCTTTCTGCACAGTGAAAGGATTCTGAGAGACTGAAGGTGCACACCCTCACTTCCACGCCCTTGTGCTGTCTAAAATGAGCTATAAGACTCATTGGAATTGGAAGCTATCATCCAAAGGAGCAGTGGATGCTGCTGCTGATCATCATAGTGGCACAATACACTTACTTGCCACAGCTCCATTTACTGATTAGATGTAATAATGCAGTAGGTTAAGAGAGGGACTATCATTCTAGACTTGAATCCAGCTCTTCAGAGCCATTTGGACCTGTATCACTTTTCTCAACACAGAACATAATTCTGCATGATATGAGGAATATACTGTGCTAGCTGGAGAGGTTTTTACTTTGTAATAGAAATATCACCCTGATTGATGGTAGCTTTGGCTTTTTGTGATCATCTTCTACGTGTTGTGGGATCAATACACTTTCAGATACTTGCCCATTCACCAAGGCATTATCTCTCCAAACTTCTTTGTCCCTGCTTATATTTGTCAACTTTACAATCCTTTTATTACCAGCAAAAGCTTTGGGAAGCTACAAATAAAAGCCGGGATTATAAAAGGATTCTTATTAAAGCATGCTTTCTTTGAGGCCCGGAGTACAATGCCCTCCGTTCTCCCCTTGTGAAAAGATGTATTTTCTTGTTTAATTAGAATAGACCTCCATTCCATTAGAAGTGGACAAGTAGGGCAGCAGGATTGCAACTCCAGGCTCCAGGAAAAAAGGTTTATTTATTTTCTCTCTGGTCAACTTTTAGAGCATATTACAACTCGTGAAAAAATTTTATAGTATTTAGGGACGAATGAGTACATGTAAGGCACCAGGTCCCTGCCACATAGGAACAGGTCATAGTCTCCATTTTTGTTATTTTTTAAAATTGTTTTTACTTTGCAATTAAAGCTTGTGTTGGGGAAATGCAAAGCCAAGTACATCAATTAAGGTCCTAGCAAGAAACAGATGGCACACTCAATTTGGATAATTTGAGCAGAGTTTAGCAAAGGGACTTTCTGCAGAGATGCGTACAGAACTAAAGGAAACCAAAAAGGATGGTGTTGTCCTCCAGAGTTAGCAACTGTCTCACTTAGAGCTTGAGTTGGCAAACTGAGGCTCGTGGGCTGAATCTGGTCTGCTACTTGTTTATAAAAATAAAGTTTTATTGAAACACAGCCATACACATTTCCATAAAGCAGAGTTGAATAGCTGCATCAGTGATTGTATGGCCTACAAAGCTTAAAATATTTATTATCCCTGAGCCACATCCCCAGCCTTATTTTGTATTTCATTTAGAAACAGGGTCTCACTGAGTTGCTTAGTGCCTCTTCTTTGCTGATGCAGGCTTTGAATTCATGATTCTCCTGCCTCAGCCTCTTCAGCTGCTGGGATTACAGGCATGTACCACTGCACCCAGCTGGGATGATTTATTTAAAGTGTGTTTTCTCCACTGCAGGCTCATTGATCAATCGGGTCCACAGCCTGATTCTTGAATGTAGTAGTTGTTCAAGAAATATTATTGAATAAACCATACAACAAAGAATATGCAAAGGAACTTGCACTTAAAAATAAGGCAATATGTCCTTGAGATGAAGGAGATATGGGCAAATGAAAAAAGTAATTACATGAAAGTCCTTTTGTCAGAAGCAACTGAGACAAATAGGTAGTGGTGAAATAATGACTAAAAATGATACATTAAAATTTTATTTTAACACAAAACATATGTCATTTGTCCAATCATTTGATGAGGGTCTTAGGCTTTTTTTTAAAGAAAAAAATAATTTGCATTACAATATGAAGACTTCTAAATTATCTTTCTTGCATAAACCACACTTACAGTGCATTATCTACAAACTTCAGAGTCTTTAAAATTAAAGACGTGAAACCTTAAGAAACTAAAAGATATTCTGAGGGCAGTTTGCATATAAATCTTCACAATTTTCCTTAGTGTTTTACAGATTTGCCAATTTTTTTACTTTTTATTTACTTATTTATTTTGTACCAGGGATTGAACTCAGAGGCACTAATCGCTGAGCCACATTGCCAGCCCTTTTTATTTTCTATTTTGAGGCAGAGTCTTGCTAAATTGCTTAGGGCCTCACTAAATTACTGAGGCTGGCTTTGAACTTTCAATCCTCTTGCCTCAGCCTCCCAAGCTGCTGGTATTACAGGTGTGTGCTACCACATCCAACTTGCCATTATTCTTCCTACCTGTTTGCCTTCATCAAATCTTTCCAAAGTATTCTATCTAGTTTTCACAGTAATATGGGTTTCTTTTATGGCTCATGTTACAGAATGTGCGTGATTACATGAACAAATACAACTGGAATAAATAGGTTTGGGAATAAATGAGATGGACTCGTAGCAATCGAGCCAGGCCAAGGACATGTTAGAAAGTAGCCTACTTGCCATGAGCCTTCAATCTGCTGGGGTTAAAGGAATCGTGGTTTACAGGAAGAAGGGAGCGACTTGGTTAATTTGGTGAATTAGTTAAATAGAAGTTGTTTAAGAGAGACTTTGTGTGATTATTACTCACTATTTTTTTTTTCTTTTTGCAATGCCGAGGATCGAATCCAGGGCCTCAAATATGATAGGCAGGTGCTCTGCCACTGAGCTCACCTGCAGCCCAACACTCAATATTTTTGAGGCTAAATACAAAGGTCAACCTTTTAATCATGACTTTTGCCTTTCTATCCTGCAAACAACCCCAAACAATCATAAGGGCGACAGACCAATTCCAGGCAGTAGGTCTCCTTGCAGTTGGCCACAGTAATATCATCCTGGACTTTGTTCGCTGGTTTCTGCCCCCAGCGTAAATCAGATGGAGTCATCTCTTGGCAGTTACATGGACCTGTTTTCCCTTGACCTGATATTTGTCCAATAATTTGGATCCCTCCTGAGTGGGGAGGGGAAGGAGGGGTTAGCCCAAAGCTAGATACACCAACCTGAGGCTTGTGTTGGACAGGGGAACAGGGCTCCAGTCTCATCATGGAGGAAGTGTTCTGGGTTGAGGAAAGATTAGTCATCAGGAGACCTGCATTCCAAACCTGGCCCTGCCACTTACAAACTTTGCCACTTTGGTCAGGCAGGACGCTTACACTTGTGTGTCTTTGTTAAATTGCCTATAAAACAAATAGTAAACATTCAGTCCATATAATGTGGAATAATTCCTCTCTCACAGAAACGCTCTTAGTCTCAAGTGAAAAAAAGATACACGTACAAGTGTTAAATATTTTCATTTTTTTCCCCCTCTTTTTCTGTAGAGTCAGGATAGGCTCCGTTATGCTACAGTAACAATCTCAAACTTCAGTGGCTCAAAAAAGCAAAGTTTTTTTGGGTTTTTTTTGGTCACTCTCATCATGTGTTCACCACAGGTTGATGTGAGGTCAGCACACTCACTCACTCTGGGAACCAGGCTGATGGCACAGCCACCATCTTGAATATTGTCAAGCACCACAGCAGAGAGAAGAACACTGTGTAGAGAAGCCACAAGCAATTAAGTGTCTGACTTGAAACAAACCATGAAACATCTGCTGGCAAGTCATTGACCAAAGCTATGCACAGGGTCCCCTCCTACTTTCAAGGGGGACAGGAAGTATAATTCTCAAGGTGTTTCAAAGAGTAGGAAATGGAGGATGAACAGCACTAACGATTGTCACACTACCTTTTTTTTCACTTCATCTTGCCTGCCTTTCCTGGTCTCTCTGTCCTTTCTTTTTAGAGAATGCTATTTGGTAGATGTGTAAACATTAAAGACAAGCAAAGCTCACCTCTGTCACTTACCAGGTGTAGGCAACACTGGACATAACTCTTAAACTTCTTGTTGGTCACCTTATCTTAAAAGGGTGTTTGTCATGGAGATTAAATGAAGTAATACATGGATGGTCTCTAGGAACAAAGGAGAAACTTTACAAATACCTGTTTCCTTCTTCCATTCATCAGGGTTTCATGTTTTCCCCTTCCCTCTTTTCCAAGTTCTTGTAGGAAAATGTGAAGGTTTAGGAATTAGGTGCAGGGCTGACCTCAAATGATATGTAAATAGCAGCCAGAGTCAAGCCTAATGACCCCAGATTATCCCAAGGTCACCTCAAGTTGCTGTGAGTTGTAAGGAAATGTTGCGCTCTTACTTGGTATGAGGAGTCTGGAAAGAGTCCCCACCCCTGAGCCTTGTCTGAGCTCTGCTATCTCCAGGAGAGGCAGTGTGGCACCCAGCACTTTGAAATCTTCATCACGCTAATAAATCCCCAGAGTATCCTGTCAAATGCACTTTCTGTTTCTGCTGGTCTGGATTGAGGCTCTACCAACTGAGCTTCCAAGAGATGCCAAAGCTGTCAGTCAGTGGTGGCCCACCCTTTGAACAGAGAGGTTCTGAAGGATTGAAATGAGGATTTAAGCAGTGTAGACCTGAATTAGAATCCTTGATCAGCTCCTTGTAAATGGCAAGGCTTAGGCGAAACACTTTTGTCTTCCAAAACTCCACTTCTTCATCTGCATAACAGGTGACCCATGGTGTGTTTGCTGGGGTGTTCTTAGCTCTTGCTGATACCTCTTCAGACTTTAAAGCCTGGACTTTCTCTAAACCACAGTGATTCTCTTTTCTCTCTTCCTTTGCTCAACAGATGTCGGAGGATGCGTCTGCCCATCTAGGCTTCCAGAGAGATCTACCTTGCCCAAATGACAAGAGTCAGAGATGTGTGAGAGAGGAATGCTAAATCCAGACCATGTTCAAGTAGAGAGCATGACGGGAGATTGGGGGTGGCCCTGAGCTAAGGGAAGTTGATATAATGGTGGCCGTGAAGGCATCTTAACCAAATAGAACCTTTTAAACCAGGCCACGAGCAGTGAGACCCTACTTTTTCTTATGGGATGCGGTGATAAAGAAATTACATAGTTATTTGAGAGGAACATAAATAAAGATTAATAGGTTAATGAGTTATTTTCCTTTCATTACTACACTATTGTACTTTATTATAATTGCTTTGCACTCATTTAATTAAATTTGAACTGGGGCCAACACAAGATAATTTGTTTTCCCTGTACTGAACAATGAGTATGCAGATTGGATGTACTGAAGCAGTAATCAGCCCTCTGTTTGTAACACTTTTCTACTCTGAGTAGACATTATAATTGATAATTTGATTGTTGCAGCACTCTGTGCAATATATTTTAAAGCAACATTAACATAATGGAAATTATGTTGTGAGCTTAATCTCAGCTTTTCACTGAGAGGCTATCTGGCTCCTCAGTGTAAACCAGCCAGGGTTTGACAACAACGGGTCTCTCTCTCCTCTCTCTTTCTCCCTCCTTTCTTTTTTCCTCCTCTTTTCATTCCTTTACTTCCTTCTCCCCCCAGTTCTTCCCTCACTTCCTTTCTTTTCATCTTTTTCTCCCTTCCTTTCCTTTCTCTTTCTTTTCTTCCCTCCTTCCATAACCACATTCACTTTTTTCTCTTACCTGATTCTCTAGCTCCATGGAAGAATGCAATACTATGAAATAAGGAGTGTTCACAGCAACCCTTCGGATGCACGCCTAATTTTGAGACCTGTTCACATCTACAACACTTGGGAAAAAGCAAGCAAGAACTTTTTCCACAAGTGGATTGATTCAAGGTGGGCAACGTGGCAGCCAGTGCCACACTGTGAACACTTTGCATTGATTTGCAAGGGGGTCATGCCCTCTTACAGGACATTTCTGTGAAAAAAAAAATCACTGGCGTTTCCTTTGTCTATAGTCAATTCTTCCTTATAGCTGCAAACACTTTCTTGAAAAGAGGTGGCCTTTATCTTCATGAATACATCTGGGAACTAATTCTCTTTGGTGTAGCTTTTCTTGTCCCGTAATGGAAACTAGGTGTGACATTCTATTTAATAATCTCAGGCCAGAGATGTTGGATGTAGGTAAGGGGACCTTGTGCCCAGGTGACTTTTGTTGAATTTTCATAACTGTAAATATTTGTTTCTGTGTTTGTTTTAGGAGGAAAAACACCTGTGAGTGGTTGGAAATGACTCTGTTTGTTTTGGAAGAGCTGAGGGAGGGGAGTCTGAATGTTCTTTGTCTCCCACTAACCTGTCCAGGCCCTGAATTTGTCGCAAAAATCTAATTTCTTTAAAGAAAAGCCTGTTCTTTCATCTCTGAGCTGTTTTGGAGGGTTGGGCACCCATACTGTAGTCTGCTGCTATATTTTCAAACTACCCTGTCAGCATAGAAGAAAAATGCCCCCCTCAACCATCATGTTCCTTTAGGGTGACAATGTTTTGGAGAAGGCAGATTTGTCTTTATAATGTGTTAATTTTCTCTAGTTAACACTTGAGTGTCATAGCTGGGCCTGTGTCTTGTCTCTCTCCCCCCTCCCCTTCTTTTCTTTCTACATTTCTATTTTTTCATAAAAACATGACTTATTACCCAGTTGAGAAGTAGCACTTTTAAGTGTTACTTTTTCTATTCATTTGGCAACAGTGTGTTTTAGCCTCCCTCCTGATCATGAGATGGACTTCTTTCAGCTGGATCTACTGTTCTAATTATCATTATTTCTTTCATAGATAAAGGGCCCAGAGAGTTAAGTGATTTTTACATTGTATCTCCCATGAAAAAAGAAAACTCTCAAGGCGCTGGGGATATAGCTCAGTTGGTAGAGTGCTTGCCTTGCGTGCATAAGGCCCTGGGTTCAATCCCCAGCACCACACACACAAAAAAGGAAAGAAGAAAGAAAGACAACTCTCATTTGCCTGGACAGAATGTGCTTCCTCTTGTTCATAGATGTATTTAAATTGAGAGGCCCACAGTTGGCGTGTGGTCACAGCCTAGAGACACAGTTCCAGCTTCTTGCATCAGCCCAGCCAACGGCTTACTACCTCCAGGGACAGTGCCAGAGAAACCTGCTCCCAAACAACGACTCGGGGTGGGTTAATGGAGCCCAGGTATCAGGTACACAGGCCTACAGCAGTTTTCCACCAAGGGAAACCAGGACAAAGGAACTCTCTCTTCCTTCTGACCATGGATTCCTGGCACTTGCAGCCTAACCAAATCCCACTGCACTTGGGTTATTCACCTTGGCACTTCAGTGTGTATAGGGCTTCCCCTTTAGCCAACCAAAAGACAAGGATTTAAGAGCAAGCATCTCCTTGAAGATGTTCCTCATCAACACCAGGAGGAGACTGAGGATGGGGACAAGGCAGGAAAACAGCTGGTAAATGACATGCCATCAAGCCAGTGGGCAACTGGGGCTCAAACCTGCTGGGGAACCTCAGGAGCCACAAAAGAGCTTATACCGCAGAGTTAGCTCATTGAGATCTGAGGGAGCCAGGACATTCATGCACCATCTCCCATCAATTGCTGATTGAGAGATGCTCCTGAGAAAGTGCGAATTCACTGGAATTTCCACTCTGCTGAACACTGAGCAGGTTCGGATAGTGAGATGCAGAGTCACCAGCAACTGGAAGTTGGGTCAACGTAACCACCAATGTTAGTGGCCTAATTGGGTCACTACTTAGCATGCTGATGTCTGAGACAATCTGAGGGGGCACTGGCGACATTTGTTATGAAAAATCTCACATGCATCTATTCTGTCTTTCTTTTTAGACTATCAGCTCCATAAGGAAAGGGCTGAGCTGCCTATCAGCCTGAGTTCCATAATTCCTACCTGTATAATAATATTTAACAACCAAGAAGCACTGGTCATAGCAAATTATAAGAGTTATCTCTGTCGATGATTGCAACAGTTCCACAAAAGTACATACTATTATTATCTCCATCCTACATCCTAAGTCACTTACTGAAATGGTGAACAAACCTAGGTATTCTGTCACCAGAGCCTGGACCATCTTTCATATATTCTGACTGAAGCTCTAGAGACACCTCTCTCTCTCTCCTCTCTCTCTCTCTCTCTCTCTCTCTCTCTCTCTCCCCCCCTCTCTATTTCTTTCTCTCCCCTCTCTCTCCTCTCTCTCTCTCTCTCTCTCTCTCTCTCTCTCCTTCTCTTTCTATCTCTCTCTCTCTCTCCCCTTCTCTCTCTTTCTATCTCTCTCTCTCTCCGTCTCTTTGGTACCAGGGATTGAACTCAGGGGCATTCAACCACTGAGCCACATCCCCAGCCCTATTTTGTATCTTATTTAGAGACAGGGTCTCACTGAGTTGCTTAGTGCCTCACTTTTGCTGAGGCTGGCTTTGAACTCGAAATCCTCCTGTCTTAGCCTCCAGAGCTGCTGGGATTGCAGGCATAAGCCACTGCATCCAGCTTAGAGCCATCTCTTGGTGACTACTTCTCATGTGACATGTCCTGGGGTAAGTACTTCACATTCATTATTTGGTCTTAGTTTTAATTTTCTCATTAAGGCTGAGCAGTATGTGCTATTATCTCCATTTTGAAGACAAGCAAGGTTCAGAGAGATTAAACCTCACAGCTCATGAGTGGCTCTCTCCAAACCCTGGCTCCTGCTAACACCAGCCACCAAAGCCAGGACTTCAAGTTGCTCCGTTTTCTACCTGGTCCTCTGTACCAGGGAGTGGGCAAGTAATGAAGAAAATGAAGAAAGTTGTGTCCCTGACTCACTCCATAGAAAGGAGTTGGACCAAGTATGGGTCAACACATAGGGGTCATTAGGGACATCACAGATCCAACTCCCAACTTCCTTTCACAAACCTGACACAATCAGGTAAGATGTTTGCTATTTTTTTTTCCCAACAGTGCTTTTGATAATATCCAAAGTGCTTTACAATCTACTTCCCCTTTACCTGGAACAGTAGCAGGAACACCAGAATGAAGCCAGTCCCTTCAGCCTATAGGAAGCCACTCCTCCAACTCTCTTTGGAAACCCTGACCCCTGTGTCCCCAAGACTAACAATATAGCACCACAACATCCTGAAAGTTGGAGTTTTGGAGATCAGGGGCTGCATGCATGCTGCTCCATGCATGGGGGCAGCAGTCAAATCCAGGGTACTCTACCATCACTGGGGACGCTGGAGCAGGCAGAGAAAGGGGCACCTACCTGTGTTCCCCAGGAAGGCATGCTGGGCGCTCATTCGGTGGAGCCCACTGGGGATCTTTCTCTCTCTTTTCCTTTCCCTTCTTCTCCCTTTCCTTTTATCTCTTGCTTCTTCCATTCCTTTGTAGAGAAGGAAGCCCAGGGTGGTAGAACATGCCCTGCTTAGGAAATTAGAAGACCTGACTGTAGCCAGCAAAGGATGATGAATGCGGCCCTCAAGCTAGTTGGCACCAGCTCTGGGCTTCAGTGGCTGACCAGCCAGACAGGCAGCCTTCCTCCACTCTCTGGATTTCAGCACCAAATCTGCAACACGGGGCAAATGGGCAGAATTAGAACTTGTCCTAAACAGTATTTACAATTATTTTTGAACCCATATCTTTAAAATAGTAGATTCTATAGTTTAAGAAACTGAATATCAATGACATTCCTTGAAAAATCAGATCTGGCTGCCTTGGACTCATACTGGTGAGTGCTGATTTCTGGCAGCTCTTTCCAGGAGAGGCCCACAGTCTCCATTCAAGGCCCATACTTTCTTTGTTCTGCACTCTTCTTGTTTTGGTATTGGTAAGAGGTTGGAGAAAGGTACAACTCCAAGCGGACCTCAGAAGCTTCTAAAAAATGCATATGGTTAGAGAATTTACATGTCTATGCTTCTCCTGCATAAGAAAGACCAACAACAAAAGGTCAGCAATAGCCAGGCCTGGTGGCCCATGTCTGTAATCCCAGTGGGTTGGGAGACTGAGACAGGAGGATCGAAAATTCAAAGCCAGCCTCAGCAAATAAGTGAGGCCCTAAGCAACTTAGCAAGACCCTTTCTCAAAATAAAAAATACAAAGGGTGGGGGATGTGGCTCAGTGGTTTAAGTGTCCCTGGGTTCAATTCCTGGTACTAAAAAAATAAAAATAAAAATAAAAGGTCAGTAATAATGTGGGATTGGGACTGACTTTATAGAATGGCAGTAATGATTGCCCTGCCTGTGTGCACGTGTGAGATGCCTTCACAGGAAGGATCTCACTGGAACCTCCAACCCCAAGAGATATGGCGGCTGAGACCTACTTTTCTCATTGCAAAGTAAGAAGCCCGCATGCTGAGAGGTGACGTGACCTACCCAAAGTCACAGAGCTACTGACTGTGGAAACCCAAATTCAAACTCAGATTTGCTTCCTCCTGGCCCGGTGATCCGTCTCCTCTAGCAGGAAATCTTTCCACCTCAAAGTGAATACTGCCTCATGCTTTCCCACTGTCTTTTCCACCTGGTCAAGTTCACAGGGCAGCTGTCACTCAACACACTTAAATAGATGGGAAAACTGAGGCATCGAGGTCACTGATATCAAAATTATGTTTGTGGCATAATTTGAGTAAAAATGGGAGCACATTCTCTCTCTTGACTGGACTGGGGGGATGGATGGGGACTCAACACCCTCCTTCCTTCTATTTTAAGGGAGAGAAAGAGACATCAAAGAGCACCAGACACTAATCTTGTTCACTTTGCAAATTTGGAAACATCTACTCTAAATTTTTTCTCTCTTCCTTTTTTTCTTCTTTTCTTTTTACCGTGAAAACAAAGAGTCAACTAATAGTATTTTAGATTTTCAAAACCCTACATCAACTCCTCAGAATTTTTACCAAAACAGGTAAAAGACAGTGAACCATGAGTTGTGTCTCCCACAGTAGGAACCTGGAATCAGAGATGGAACTAATAAGCCCACTTTTCCTCAGTGGCTTAGAATCAGGTCATGTGAGGGTTCAGTGTGAGCTAAGCTAAGTCTCTAAG